CTCTCTCCAGAGGGAGCCTCAAGTATTTCCAATGTGATCTTCTTAGAGAGGGGCAGCCTGGGAAAGGCGGCCCTTGGGCTCCATGGAATGTGTCTTCCATGTCTGTTTTACTGGATTTTGGCAAAAGAGAGCTTGACTTAATGTGGGTTTTTAACAAAACAGCTGCTGTGGCTGTAGGCAAGCCAGGAGTGGAGGGAGAGCAACACCTGTGGGTGTTTGGTTGTGGAGCCTGGCAAATGGGAGCCTTTCCTGCTGTTTTAATTGGCATCAGGAGATCACTGGGACCTTGGAGCCCCAAACACCACTTGGGAGCATCTGAAAGGTGCTTCTGCACCCTGGAGCTGTGACAGTGCTGTGAAGGCAGGGAAAGGGGAAAAGAAAGTACAGGAAGTGAAAAGAGGGAGGGAGAACTTCCATCCATCCTTGCCCAGGCTGGTAAAGGTCTAAAAACACTCAAAGCCTTCCTGGGGCCCACTGGATTCAGGGGTGTGTGCACAGCTTGGTGAGCACCCCAAGGCATCTCCCACCTGCACAGGTGTCACCCTGGGACAGGCACTTCCCAAGGGCCATCCCCTTCCCAAGGACTGCACTTGGGATGAGGTGAATCTTTCCTGGGTGGACTGGAGGTCTCAGCTAAGGGCAAGGACAGCCAAGGGTGGCTCGTGCACACCTCCGTGTCCCACTCATGGCCACACACACACTAGGGCAGGAATCCCCCCTCTAGTCTCTGCTGGAGACCTGACATGGACAGAAAATCTCACAAGGGCCTGTCCACCTCAGCCTCTCCTTTCTGGCCTTTCCCACCCAATGTTTTGGAGTAGGATCTAGGAAACCTGCTGTAATCTCTGGAGGAGAGGCTTGTCCTGCTTAGGATCCAGCAGGTTTTATCTTTTGCGTTAGAGGAGCATTCAAATAATTTAATGGTGGATATTCTCATCCCTCATCTGCCAGCAGAGTTGTTTTTGTGGCTCTAATGCTTCCCTGACCTCAATGATGTCTCCTGTGAGTGCGTTGCTCAGGTTAATTATGCATTAAGTTTACATAAGGCTTTTCTGTTTTTAATCAGTTCCAAACCCGCCGCCCTGGGCTGTGCTGGATGCGCCGGCACTCGGCAGCTATCGGGGGGCTTGCAGGAGGGCTGCATCCACCTTCCCACCCTGCCAGGTCTCATCCTCCCCCTGGGGTGGCTCCTCTGTTTGTCACCGTGCTGCACAACACTCCTGAGACGTGTGGCTCTGTTGTCACCCGCACAGCATCTCCGACACCCGCTGCAGTCACACGGCACCGCGAGGGGAGCTGACGGCTGCTGGATTGAGCTCGCTCGTACTCAGCTCCCTTTCCTTCTCCACGGCTGGAGAAGTGTGTGTGTACCCTGGGAGAGGCTTGGGAGCTGCTGTCTTTCCTCAGACAGTCTTTCCCACGTGGCCTGTGTGAGTACAACAGAGAGGGTACAAAGACGGTGTTTCTCTTTCTTCTGGAGATCCGTTTCTCTTTCTCTTTGCTTTCCTCTGGGCCTCCCCTTTGGTTTCACTGCAATCTCTTTTGAGCTGGATGAGCTTTCCTTCTCTCTTCTAAGACCTTGAAAGTAAAGGTTATGGTGAGATTGCATAGAAGTTGGATAACATGATTCTGTCTTCAAGGCAAGCGCTCCTGTTTGCAAAGTAACTTGGCAGCCTTGTGTATTTTGGATTTAGGCATCCTGGTGCATAAGCCAAAGCTAACAGATATTAATTAGCTGGAGGACTGATACTGTAATGAGAGCAGTTGCTCGCATAGGTTGGCATTTTTATTTTTCATGCGAGTAATTAAAGGAAAAGTTGTGTTGAAGAAGTCGGCATTAAGAGATGTTGTGTAAATAACACACCCTGGGTGGTGAGAGCTGGGGAGGAACGTGAGGCAGAGAGGAGCAGCTGAGCTGCTGCTGTGATGCCTGGCTGTGGGAGGAGGGATTACCCCTGCAGCAGGAAAAAAGAGGAGCAAAGGAGAAGTGTGGTTGTAAAACCACGTCAGAGGAGAAGGACGGGGAGTTGGAAGAGCTTTGCCAGTGTATTTGGAAATGCACAAGGGCATCATATTTGGAGGATCCCAAAAAGATCCTGGTCGAAGAAGCAGGGATGCAGGAGCAGTCTGCAGCGTAGGCTCTGGGTTGGAGGAACAGCAACTGTTCTGAGCCTGGTGTTTATGGTGGTCCCCTAAAACACTTCCCAGCCAGTCATCCTGCTGAGACCCTTCAGGAAGAAGTTTGCATGGAGAAGTGCTGAGAGAAACCAGTTAAACCCTGGCATAATCCAGGAGACAGGGATGGATCTGTGGAGCTGCTGGAAGCACAGTCACACCTTTAGTTTGTGTTGCTAGGAGCGTGTGTGATGTGAGGAGTGAGAAAACAGCCAGGTCTGGGTTTGAGATACCTGGCAGGGGTGTCCTGGAGATGCCCAGGAGGTGTCTGGATCAGGGAACGATGGTCTCTGTCCTGTTAGGCCAGGGAAGTGCCAGCTGGGCACAGCTGAGCTTCTCTTCCCCTGCTGGTGATGGAACAAAGCCTTGGTTATCTCCAGGGTGTTTGTCTCCAGCCTTGAGACAGAAAAGAGGCTCGAAACCACGCCCAGCCCCCAGGAGCAGAGCCATGCAGAGGAAAAGCCGCAGTGCTGAGCACTTCCCACTGCACGTGGGCTCTGCAGCCTGCGCTCACCTGTCCCTGGCACCCCGCTGCCCCAGACAAGGCCTGGCAGAGCAGCCTTCCCACAGGGATCTTGTCCTTCCCACCTAGGTCAGGGTCTGCCCCCCTGGGCTAACCCACACTCACCTCTGAGCAGGCTGAGCTGCCCCAGTTTGCGTGGTGGGAACCAGCATTTACCTGATGTGCCGTGATGTGAGGCTGGATCTGCTAAATCACGCTGGACCCTGCAGTCATTGATGGAATTTTAACCATTTGTTTCCCTTCTCCAAGAGCCAGCTGTTGGCAGCGATGGCCAAGTCCTTGCTCTTCTGCAGGTGGTGTATTGTGAAGGAGAGAGTGGGTAAGGAATGCAAATCAAAACCAAACCATGCGCTTTGCCATCTTCTTTGTTGTTTTTTTTTTTCCCTTTAAGAAGCTCAATATATCAGCTAATCGTGTGTGTAAACAATCTCAATATGCAAACTGAAAAGTGGCATCATCCCCCCAGCGCCAGCTGGGTTGAGCTCCCCCATTAACCTCTCCAGAGCAAAAAACCCTTCCCGAACAGCCATTTCGGAGTGTGCAAAATTGATTTTGCATTCGGCCTCCGCAGTGGGAGAAGATGGCGGCGTCGAGCCGCGGGTGCCTTTCCCCTCCCTTGTCATTTTTTTGGGATATCCTCTTTTCCTGGCGATGGAGGACGGGCGTGGCTGGTGCCGGCAGGTCCCCCCGACGCCTTCTCCTGAGCAAAAACAATAAAAACCAAATTTACGGCAGCCCCTCCTTGGGTCATTTCCACAGCGCAAAGACCCCCTGCCTCCCACCCCCTTCATGTGCATCTTCTCTTAATTAATTAATACTGCATTCATCACCGCTTAATTCCCGTTTCCGTAGCACCCGAGGAGGGGGGCTGCCAGCTAAGGCGGGTGCTGAGACATTCTAGAGCTGCTGTCTTAGTGGAGGAGCTTAATTAGCCCCCGTGACAATATGGGCTCGTTTCCCACAGCCCGGGAACGGGTGGCTTCAAAGGGCTCCTGGTGGCCGGCAAACGCAGCTCCCTGTCCCCGTGCCAGTCCCCGTGTGTGCTGGGCAGGAAGGGTGATCTCCTGCAGCAGCTGCCCAAATTTAGAATCAATTAATCACAAATTGGCCTCCTTTTGAGCTGGGTGAGGGACAGGAGGCAAAGTTGCCAGGTTTGGTCTGTCTCGGTGGTTTTGGGAAGCAAATCCCTTTGGGTTGTACAGGGTCTACACATCCCTCACTGCTCAGAGCTGTGTCTGTTGGTGTTGCAGGGGTCCTGCTCTCCTCTTTTTTTTGTTTTTTTACCTTAAACACAACTTGTTGGCACTTGTGGTGCCTCCTCTGCTGAGAACACCTTGCTGCTGCCCTGGTGGGACATGGCTGGAGAGCCCTGTGGTGCTGATGGGGCAAACCAGCAAATCAACCAGCAAACATCAGCTGGGGTGACTTTAGCAGAACAGAGCTTTTGTTGGGACTGGCTGGAAGAAAAGGTGATGTGCTGGTCAGTTGTCTTTGTGGTGTGCATCAGTTTGGATGGGTGACTGTATTTTTCAGGCTTTTACCTCCCAGTCTTTGAGCTCTCTTTACAAGAGGGAAAATTGAGCTCTCTTTACAAGAGGGAAAACCCTTGTGCCCCACAGCTCGTTGGGATGGTGACCACAGGGGTGCTGTGCTCATACCCACACAGCTCCCACCCACCTGGGCACCACATTTAGGGTGAGATGGAGAGATCCAGAGCATGTGTGTGTGGACAGAAGATGGAAAGGGAACAAAAGCAGCGGATTCAGGGCCGGGCTCCTTGCCAAGAGCAGCAGCCCTGGCTGGGGTGGTGGCTCCCTGCTGCCCTCCCCTCTGGGCAGGGGCTGAGGGTGGGCTGGGGCGTCAGCGTGGCTCGGGGCTGGGATGAGGGGTGGCGATGTCGGGATGCTGATCTTGGTGTCCATGCTGGGATGTCACCTCGCCCTTCCCACGGCGTGTCCCGCGTGCCTCGCCGCCACAGCACAGCCACGCTCAGCCAGCGTGAGCATTGGCAGCAGGCTCGGGGTGTCCCCACACCCCGGTGTTGGCTGTGGGAGGGGAGGTTTGTGCTTGATTTTTATTTATTTTTTTTTTAATCTTTCATTTCCGTTTCCTTCCACTCTTTCATTTTTCCGCACTGCCCAACCCGCAGTGTTGAAACTCGGCCGCCTCGTCAGTGCTGGCTTTGGGAGGGCTGGGGATGTGGGGGTCAGCTGGCCCAGCAATTGCTGCTTGGGGACAAAAGGAGCCTTTTTTGTTTTTCTTTTTTTCTTTTTTTTTTTTTTTCCTTCTTTTTTTTCTGCAGCGCCAGTAGCAGCTGCCAGCCAGAATAGCAAATCCATGCGACTTGGCACCACTCCAGCTTCCTTGAGGGTTGCAGAGGGATGGTATGTTGGAGGGTAAGACTAGCTAATTAATCTTCTGGCAGGGAACAATGTAATATCAGACAATTACAAAGGCAGAATGAAATTGCTATAGTGGGAAGGCTGGCATATGAATTTCTCAAAGGGTCCATCCCTCAGTCCGCTGCCGGGGTGCTTTGTATGCGGGAGAAGCACCCGGTGTACGTGTGCTTTTCTCTCGTGTGGGGGTTTTTGTGGGAATTACATTGTGGGGCGGGGGGAGCCCGGCCTGCTCCCAGGAGAAGCTTTCTGAGGAGCAGAAGAGAGAAAGAAGAGTCATTGTGAGCAGCCACGTTCCCCAGCAGCAGCTGTGCCCAGAGGACAGACCCACTGCATCGCCCATCCCTCGGGCTGGCGATTGTTTCCCACTTATTGCACTCTGCCGTCTGATGGCTACAGCTTTTGGAAAGGGGCACAGGGGGAAGGATTTCCTAGAGAAAATTCACAGAGAAGCCTTCAAAGAGCTTTGGAGCTGCTGAAAGTTCTTGGGGGAAAACACCTACGAGCTCCGCGGTGGTAATTGCGGATAATGAGCTGTAATCACCGCTACCTACAGCCGGGACGCGGTGATGGATAGGGCAGTGAGAGCCGCATGGTGCAGGCTCCCCGTCTGTTTATTTGCAGCGGGGAAAGAATTAGGGAAGTCTCATTTATCCTGGAGCACAGGAAAGCATCGCTGGGAGATCAGCCTGGGCAGGATTAGCGTAGGAAAGCCCTCCTCCCTTCTCCTTGTCCTCGCCAGGCGTCAGGGATGAGCTAATGACTCTCCTCCCTTTGCATCTCCCTCCCAGGATGAAACTTGGATCTCTGGAAGTGTCATTAAAAACAAAACCAAACCAACCCCTCAATACCAAACGTGGAAACGGCATCAGACAAATTCTTTTCGCGATTTTGCGTCTGCGCGCCAGGAGCTGCTTCCAGCCAGGACAGGAATTGGAGCAGCTCCAGCTTCGTTGTTCTTTCTCCTAAGGAATTCGAGTAGGTTTTTGTCTGGTGCCTGCACACATCAGATGGTGCAGAGACGATGTTTAGAAACCACTGTGAGCTGCCTTGGCTGCTGGGCTGGGCTGCCACTTGTCACTGGAGCTGCTGGAAGGCTTAGGCTGAACAAGTGGCTCCTTTTAAAGCAGTGGCAATGTCAAGGGCTGGATTGGCAGGCTGGGGGCTTCTCTCCAAGATGCAGATGAGGAGGAGCTGCCCACAGTCAGCCCTGGGGTGCCCTGAAAGGCTCCGTGCTGGGTGCCCATCGTGGGTGCTTGCCTGGATATTTTTCAGGGCTGGCTGGATAGCAGGAACATTTTCCATTGGTTTTCCTTAGTGATGAAGGTCCCAGGGCTGGATCCCATCAGAAATCCCTTGGTGTGGTTCATGCAGGTGTGTAGCTGCTTCTCTGGCTGTATGTGCTCCCTGTGAGACAGCACGAAATTCCCTGCACACCCCAAAGGGATGGATCCCAAAACCCAGCCCTCTGTTCCCAGCATCTGCTGCACCCTCCCTGTGCTTGCTTTGCGCATCCCAGGCACTCAGGGAACAGTGGCTGGTCTTTCTCTGGAGGCAGAATGGATGCATCACCTCTCTCTGAAGGGCGCAGAGCTCAGCCCAGCCAGCCCTTTGGTTCCTGTCCTCATCCAGCACATCTCCTGGATGGAGGGAAACTCTTTTGAGACCAGCCCAGCTAATGTACCTGCAGGAGAAGGCCCTGGAGACTTCCTAGGCAGACAGTGGTGGCTCTGGTAATGGATGCTTATGAGCAGGAGTGAAGAAACTGAAGTTATCCCCATCATTTCATAAATGATTTCAGTCAGAAATGATCACATCCAGTCCCTGTCTGAAGTCCTGCTGAGGACTCTCCCTCTTTGGTCCTGTGCCCAGGCCCAGCCTTGCCCTCATCTCCGTACAAAGTCTGAGCCAGCAGCTCCTGTGTGGAAGTGGAAAAGACAATCTGAACCTTTTCACAGTCAATAATTGACACCAGGGATGTTTCTGTAAATTAATGAGTGTACCTTCTTGACTATACTTCAAAGTTTTCACTTTATGAATCTTTTATGGAATTCTCTATGCTGGGAAAAAAAAAAAAAGATAACAACAAATCCTTGTAGTACTGAAATTTCACCTTTGTAAGTGATGCAATAAAAAAAAATTACTTAAACCCTACTCTTTCACAATCAATTGACTTGAGAAAAACCATCCAGTGGGTCATTGTGTGCACATTGGGGCAGAATTTGCCCATGAAGTTGTGCACATCCAAACTGTGTGCTGAAGGGTTAATAATGGTCTGGGCACTCTGACCTGAACCTTAATGCTGCCAAAATTCCCCCCTTGCAGCTGGGTGTGAACCCCTCCAGGTCCTGCTGAGGCTCTCCAAGGAAACTTCTGGAGTTAAGAAATTTAATTTGTAATAAATCAGCATTACAGTACAAGTAAATCTGCTTCAGTGGCTATAAAAATTAATTCCTTATCCTAAACATTATTATATAGCTTTCAAAATGAATTGACTGTGGTTGGTAGTCTAGTATGTGCCATTATTGGTAATTAGTGTAACAAAATAACATTGCTGTAATATTTCCTGTCTACCCCTCCCCCAGTTGGGGGCTGTTTCATATTAGAGAATCAGAATTGCAAATGCAAGGCTTGTGTGCAAGCTACTGCCTTTGATTTTTTTTTTTCCCCCCCTTTTTTTTTTAAATATAATTTTGTGTGTGTTGGAAGTCAATCTGTTCCTGTCTGGGGTTTTCTGGGAGCATTTCCTTCTGCAACAGCTTTGGAATGTCCCAGGGCAGCATCAGAGCCTGATGCTGGAGGGGCTCCCCGGAGCAGCCCAATGCTCTTGGGTCCCCTTTGGAGCTTTCCCTTGTGTGCAGTTGCTGCTGAGATCAGAATTCCAGGTTGGAAGAGACCCCAGGTGGGATCATCTGGTCCCTCCTCCCTGCTCAAGCAGGATCAGCCCTGGCACAGGATCGTGTCCAGATTGTTCTGGAATATCTGCAGTGCTCACTCACATCTCCCAGCATGTGACATGTCTCGCCCACAACTTGTGTCTCAATAGTTTTCTCCAGTGATCCACCACACCCTGGTCTTTACCCAGGAGCTAAAACACCTGATGGATGTCCCATGGAGACCCTGGGGCAGCTCTGAGCCTGCCAGGAGCTGGAGGGAAGCAGAGATTCCCTTTTCTGAAGCAGGGGGCAGGTGAAGGATGGGCTGTGTGCAGCAGGAGGATCCTGAGGAATCTCACTGGGCTTTGGCAGCTGGAAAAAGCTGCTTTTCACACCTTGCTGGCCTGACTAACAAACGTGAACAGGCTGAAAAGGGGGGTGGAAGCACAGGAGGAGCAAATAAAAATGAGCTTATACATTTCTCCCTCTCTGAGATGGACATTGTTGGGGCTTTTCTCATCAAACCCCAGTGCCAACCCAAATGTCCTGGATAATCCCTCAGGAACACCCATACTAAACTCTTCAGTGTTGCTGACCAAAACAACTCCTGCCATTTAATTTCTGGAGTGTCCTTTTGGATTTTTTCCCCCCCCTCACCACCACAGTTCTGTTTTTCTTTTTTTCTCCTCCATTTTCAGCTTTGAGTGTTGCCTTTTGAGAAAATCCTCAGCAGCCATGGTTAGAAACTTGAGATTCTCCATGGAACTGGAGGATGGTTTGGGCTGGGAGGGACCTTGAAGGTCAAACCAGGTCACTCCAAGCCCTGTCCAGCCTGGCTTTAGGGAAGGAAAGTTCAAATTCTCCTGTGATTTTCTGGCTCTGGGATTTTTTTCCCTATGAAATGACCAAATTAAAACTTATCATCTGTGCAATGAGAACCTGGGAGCAGAGGAATGGGGAGCTATGGGGAGAGTGGATCCTTTGTGCTGTCCCCAGCATGGAGTTATTTCATGACAGCTTCAGAAGCCTGGAGATATGCCCTGCACTCAGCCACCCCATTTATCACAGAGCTGAAAAATGCAGAAATGAAGCAGTAAAACTGAGCAGGAGATGCATTTACCATCCTGGAAAACATTAAAAATGTAGATACAGAAATAATAATAATAATATCGGTATCATTGTTGGCCCAGATGAGGCTGGTAAATCATAATTCCAAATATCAGCGAGTTCCAGAGTGAACAGGCTGTGCCATCTGAAGCCTTTGATTTGGTCCAGGCTGGGTTTGGGAGCTGAGCCCGGGGTTTGTGCTTTGGCTGGAGTTGGACAGATGCAGTCAGCTTAAGCTGCAGGAGACAAATTCCCTCCAAGCTGAGGGAGGAAAATAAATTGCATGTTGGAAGCGATATAAACATGATTTCAGGACTTTCTCCAACTTTTCTTCCCCTCAGGGCAAAGGATATTGAAATGATTCAAACCAGGACTTTGCTGGGAATGAACTGATAGATTTTTTTCAATATAAACCCCACATTTGGTACCAGTAGAGCTTGAAGCTCTACCCCATTTGCAGAATGAGAGCAACACTTTGGGGCACTGGCCAGGAAAATCAGGATATTTTCTTCTGTCTAATTTCCTCATTGAAAGGTCTTTATCTCAGGAGTTTGTCTGGAATTAAATGTTTTTAATCCCTTTGAGCAGTTCCTCCCATTCTCTTGTACAGAAAGTTATTTTCTGTGCTGCCAAACAGCTCTTCCTACCTGGGAGTGTGGTGGGGTTTATTTGCTTCCCTGTCTCACGTCACTAGCAGTCAGCTCTGCTGAAATCTTTGTGCATAGACTTCAAAATGCTTGGATTTTTCATCAAAGTGGGAAATACCTGTTTTTCTTCACGTGCATATTTCTGCATTTCTTCTCAGTTTTCTTCCTCCCAACCTCAAATCTCTCCCTCATCATTGCTCAGCTGTTTCAAAGAACCCCATCAAAGTTATTTCAGCTTCATCCTTGCTGTGAGACCAATATTTCTCTATCTTTTTAATGAGCCATATATCTGTGGTGGAGAGAAATTAAGTGAAGGAGTCCTTACTGGAGATAGCAGATCTCCTGTTTGCATGAAAACCTCTGCAAGTCTTGATTTCTCAAATGAAACCACTCTCAAAGGTTAAAAAACACCAAAAAAAACTGAGGCAATATTTTGAGTCAAATTAAATATTTAATTTCAATAAAATCAAAGTATTTCAAACAGATTTCTTTGTCCATTTAATATTTTATGAGAGAAGCCTAAAATTAAACACAGAGTTGTTCCTCTGGGGAAAAAACAGAGGTTGTTTTTGTATGCTTTAAAGAAAAAAGAAATCCATCTAGTAAAAGTACTTTTTATTTTTTTCCCAGAATACTTTTTTTTCTTTTTTTTTTAACACAACATGAGGATTTCCACATGAGGTTGTCACTGCATCCTTTGCAGAAAGTTGTGGCTACGAGATCTGGTGCTCCAGGGACAAAGATGAATCTTGCTGCACCAGTGGAGTTAGGAGAAACAGATTTTTTTACAGAATTATTCTTTTACATGTGAGGTCCACCTGCAATAGATTTGGGTAAATATGAAGAATTAAGGTGTGAGAAGGGCTGTGGCATCTCCCAAAATCTGTGGGAAGGAGCTGTGGCTGTTCTGGGCTCTTGGAGGTTTTAATTTTCTGCTTGGAGGGTTGGGTGCAACCCTCTCATGTGGGGCAAGAAACCTCCCAGTTTGTGCCATTTTCAACTGGGAAAGTGATTTTATTTCTTTTCTTTGTGTGCACAAAGGAAGAAAGGCTTCTGATAAACTCCAGAACCCACCAAGGCTGTAACATTTTTGGGCTGTAACACCAAAATCTGTGTGTGCTTCCAAGGGAGACACCTCTGCCAGGTTTATGGATGCATAGGGTTAGGGCTTTCTGCTTGAAT